TGTGTGTGTGTGTGTGCTCAGTGGACCTCCTCAGACTTGCATATTGTGTGTGTTCAGGTGGGAAGGTTAGTGGGGTGATGGAGTGAGGATTAAAGGTCTCTGGGAGACATGGATGTGTGTGGTGGTGCTGCAGACCTTAGTGTGTCTCTGTTTGTGTGCGTGCAGTTAAATTGGCTGAGACCAGAATGAAGAGAGTATTATTAGTATATCTAAAAAATATCCGACTTTGGAAAAAGTCAGATTGGGCTAATTTTTGTGCGAGGGAAAGTAATTCTGCCTCAGAACCAGATAATAGATAATCTTGTTAAAGTCGCATGTAATTACTTTCTTCTGATATGAATTTAAAGCTGGAAGTCATAACTATTCCACAAATTCAGAGAATTCAGAGGTTAGTGTTGTGGATTTGGAAATGTTTTACCTGATAGTTGATTTAAAGTGAAAATATCATCCTCTAGCCACGTACAGTGATCAACTGTGTAATATTCACTTAACTCTTGGTTATCCTGAACTGCACATGTGGAATACAGAAAACCAGATCAATGTTATAGTATAGAGAGCCTGGAGAGTATTGTGATATGTTGCAAATGAGCCACACTCCATTATACAGGTGAATTTAATGATTTATCAGGATCTGAATGAAAATCTGTTCAGATTGCAGCTTTGAGTTAGTTTATTTTTGGATTGGTTGATAAAAGAGTGGTTGGCAAAATAGTGACTGAGGTTTGAATGAATCTACATTTTCCATGGTCACATGTAGCAGTCTTGTGTAAAAGGGGAAACCACTAAAACCACATAGTGTCTGTATATTAATAGTTCTGCCTGCGTTCTGTATTTATTTAAGTGAGTTGTCACAAGATTTAGGGAAACTCGCAGCTTCCTCAGACTGCTTTGACACATTATCTTGCTACAATGTTTAGATTGCAGTAAACATTTTTCAAATGGCTCTATGTCCCCCGAATCCCTACTCCTGTAGGATGTCCCTGCATTATTACCTGAAAATGTATATTAAATATGAGAGTAAACATGAAGAGGGCCTGCTGTGCTGCTGAGTAGTGCCTGTTCACCAGGTTTACAACTGTTGTTCATATTGAGCTCACTGCAATGCTAAGTGGTGATGCTACATTGGCAACATTTAGAGGAAGTGAAGATATATCACCTAACAGTGCAGTATGATGGGAAACGGAGCTGGGACATTAAGAAAAATTGTTTTACTGACAAAGCTACTCATTTAAACTGTCTCAAAATGTTGCCTTGGTATTGTGAGCACATTTTGTTCTATCCAACCAAATTTCAATGTGGCCTTGCTTTTTGAATGTTCATAAGTTATAGCTTCCCCCATATTCCTGTGGGCAGTTTTAAGCAGAGATAGCTTGATGTCCACACTGTACAGTAAAAGAATAATCATTATTGCATCCATGCTATTTACTAGTCTCTGAAACATGGTATATGACTTTCTCACATATGTGAATGTCTGATTTAGTTAGACGTTATCTAGTTAGTGAGATCAATAAACTAACATAGCCAGCAAAGGTCCTATTTAGCTGTCCATGTGTAGACTGAGCAGTTTCAATGTCTGTTTCGGTTTTCTTTGTTTTTTTAACAGCTGGTTTATGAATTTTCTAAGCTAGCTAGTGGTGATTAGTGGTCAATAGTGTGTGTGCTTGTTTCTTCCTCTTGCTCTTTGGCTCTACAAAGAATAAATTAAATTAAAAAAATTAATCTTCAGACAAAACGCACCGAAAGACTTTAAATATCCTATAACAAGTTATTTTATATGATATAGTACACTACCTCTAATTTAGCTGCATCAATGTCACACCTACAATCAAGGCAATTAAAGTAATATAATAAACTGCAGTAACAATTTATGGATCACTGTACTCACAGCTAGTTATTTCTGTCTCCTATCACTAACCCATTTTCCCAGAATACTATGGACTAGATCAAGGTAATGACTGGAACGTACCATGAGTCTGGTTGTATTGTGATGGCACTTTGATTTGGTGGTTGCTGTGACCCTTGTTTTACGTTTGCTTGCGACTGTAAAATAAAATCCTGAATTTATTTCTGTATCTGTACCCTGTTGATTTGACCCCCTTCTGTTGATGTTTGATGTGCTGTCAGTTTTGGGCTGAATTGATGGTGGCTTCAGAACTGAGTCCCAGTTGTTGGGCTAGGATCTTGTAGTGTATTATAAATGTTAAGAATTAAGTGCCACGATTGTACAGCTCAGTATCATTTGACTTGCTGTTTAAAACCCATTTACTGCTCGGGGTAACAACTACAAGGCAGCAGTTCATAAACATTTTTGATATCATTTAACCAGAAAAATTCACTCTGCATGTTCCTATTAACAACTTTAGCCTGGAGGAGGAAGTGCAGTGAGAGGGAAGGGTTTAAATAGATACATGTACATTTT